AAGCTCCATCTCCAGGTCCCTACTTCATATATACTTTTTTTTTCATATATACTTTTAAAGTAAAACATTTTTTTAATCACCGCTGTATCTGCTACTAGCTAAGCTGTAGGCAAGCCATTAACTTTATCTACCCTCAAATTCCTATTACAGGAATGATGGTATAATGCTTTTCTTACCAGAATACTGTAAGAATATAGTTAATATGCATAATGGGCTCATAAAAACATCTGGAACAGGATAAGTAAGCATCCCATAGTTCAGCTTGTTATTTTATTTCTATGACAGTCAAAACTGTTTCAGCACATGAAGGTGCCTACTGCCAAGTGTGAAAATCTAACTTTAATTCCTGAAACCTGAAGCAGAAAACAGCCTTCTGCAAGTTCTATTATGACCTATACACATGCACACTGTCCATGTGCACACCCACACAATACACAAAATAAATACGCAATAAAAAAACTTTTAAGAGCATACTGTTTGTAAACTAATATGGTTTCTGTATTTCCATAAACTTGGATAAGATAAATTATCAATTATATACTGATACTAGTTGTGGCAAATATCCAGGAGTAAAAAGTGTCCAAAGAACCATTAGATGGCATAAAGCCTCACTGTAAGAATTATTTCACCTGCAGATTTGACACCAATACAGCAATACCCCTGAGCACAGTGGTCACACCTGTGATCTCAACACTGGAAAAGCAGAGGAGGAATGCTAAAATACCATGTGCTCCAGACCACTTTAGGCAACAGGGGTTCAAAGCCAGCTAGCCCTGACTATATGGCAGGATTGTCAAAAATGTAGAAATTTTTGGTTTTGTTTTTTTCCAAGTCTAAAAGTTTCTTAAAGCAGGCAGTTCTGGCCAACCAGGGCTGCTGCATGAAAACTGAGCTGCTAAGGGAAGGTACACCTGTGGCTGCTGATGAAGGTTCCACAGAGACACAGACAGGAGAGACTCCCATGGTTACAGATGGAGAAACCAATGGTTCTTGTGAAAAGAGCAGTGACACCAGCCATCCGAATGCACCCAAACATACTCAGGAGAACACAAGAGCTAGCCCGCAGGAAGGTACCAACAGAGCATCTCAGGTGGCCAAAAACGGTCTTTCAGAAAGAGACACAGGAGTTAGAAAGCAAAACCATGTCACATCTGACGACTTCATGCAGACTTCTGTCATTGGCAGCAATGAATATTTCTTAAATAAACCAGCCCTGCAGGGGCAGCCCTTGAGGACTCCCAAAAAAAGAACCCCCCCCCCATACACACACCACAACAAAAGCATACAAGACTTCAAATACAATGTAAGTGTTAAGATATTTTAAAGTTTTATTTACACACACACTTAAAATTATGAGCACATGTTTGAACAGAAAGGTTTCCTTAAAGAAATAATGAACATTAGACAAGGACTGGATCAGTTTCATTTATTCTCTGCCATGATTCAAACTTCATACTTTCCTGAGAACCAACTCCAATTCTGAGTCAGCTACCACCAGTGAAGCATTAATACCCAGCGTGTGATGAGAGATGAAACCAAGTGTGAACAACTTTCTGGTCCCATGAGTAGGCAGACTGTTGAAGCTGTCAGGTTCAATTGTATCATTCCCTATTACTCAATGCCCCAAACTGCTTCCTAATTGTTAGGAGCTTAATGTATTCAAAACCACTGTTTAGGCTAATGCTGAAATGTTCCACAATTGAGTCTCCAAAAAGTAGGAGGAGGATTAAAGTGCAGTTAAACCATTACTGAACACTCTCAATAGGACAGGAGAACTGGACAGAATAACCAATTCTAAATAGATTGCTAAAGTGGTTAATATCTAATCAATGTTATCACTTATCTTTTAGGGAGAAAGTAGTGGATGGAATATGAAAAGCAACATGAAAAGTCAGCGGTACTCCTAAAATGATTTAAACCCTTAACTGATGATCCAATTAGAAAAAATACAAAACATTTTACCTTCCAATAATGGTAAGGATCTACAGTTACGACTACTGATATACTATAGACAGTCTACTATGTACTGAACTTTTATGCCAACTACATGTAAAGGAAAAGTTACTCTAAAAAACAAGTACAGCATATCAAGTAAGCTAATGGTTACTACAGCAGCACCAGATAAGCCAGACTAAATATGATTCAGCTTCAAGGCAGAATGCATTTACTGCTAGACAGAAACACACATGCAGCTGTCTCAGCATGCAGCATGTGAATATAACTGGATCTATCTATCTATCTATCTATCTATCTATCTATCTATCTATAACATATGAGAGACCCATCCTACAGGACCACGGAAGGAGACAGCGTAAAGGCTGTAAATCCTATGGCTTTTTTGCTCTTCACTTGAATCACATGACAAGTGAAACTGTTTCCCTTCACTTCCAGATCACTTACCCCCATGTACCTCTCCCTAATGCCAGCCCCAAGACCACTGACTTAACGAATGAGAAGAAATGATATTTTGCTAAATTCAGCCTAGAATTAACCAGAATAATTAAACAGACTTCTATAAAGACAGAAAAAAAATGCAAACTGGAAATATTCAAAAGTGAGACTTGGTCCAAGGGTAAAGAGCCATCAAACAGCACATAGTTACATTTAATTAAAAGAGATAAAACAATTTATTAGACCCATTCTTTCATTTGTTCTTTCACCCTCCCTAAGTCCTGTTATTTCCATCCCTTACTTTTCCAGAGAAATAAGCTAAAGAAAGGTCAGGCGGTGGTGGCGCACACCTTTTTAATCCCAGCACTCGGGAGGCAGATCCCAGGTGGATCTCTGGAGTTCGAGGCCAGCAGGGTCTACAAGAACTAGTTCCAGAACAGGCTCCAAAGCTACAGAGAAATCCCGTCTTGAAAAACAAAAAAGCTAAAGGAAACCTTTCTAAAGTAATCAAGCTACCCTTATTCACCAAATAGTGCATTTTCATGTTCAAAAATGGCACAGATAATCAGACCCTTTGTTCAGTCTATTATTTGACTTAAATAAAATGATGACTACCCAACACCATTCATAAAAACACACATGACAATAATACAATGTTGTACTCTAATAATACAGCATATGGCCAGGCAGTGGTGGCACACACCTTTAATCTCAGCACTTGAGGCCGAGGCAGGTAAATCTCTGTGAGTTTAGGGCCAGCCTGGTCTACAGAGTGAGTTTTAGGATAGCCGGAGCAACACAGAAAAACCCTACCTTAAAAAAAACCAAAAATAAATATAAAATTTAAAAAAACGGACGTCCAGAAAACACCAAAGAAATGCATATTTTAAAGTCTCATAATAGAAATTATGCATATATAGAAAAGCTCAAATTTGTATTTTCTTTTTTCCTTTTTTTAAAAGCTTGGTTAGAGAATCAAACCTATGGCCTCACACAGGTTAGGCAAAGGCTTTCTCCACACAGCAATTAAACGCTAACTAGACAAACTAGTGCTTTAAAAATTACACTATAGCAACTTTCTCCAATGTTAAAAAATCTGTTCCTAGAGTCTTGAAAAAAAGTGAAATGACTACAGAATGAAGCTGGGTGTGGTGGCACAAAGCTCTAAAGCCTTGAAACTCTGCAGACAGACACAAAAGACTCAGTTTTTAAAGCTCAGGGATGTAGCTTTAAAATAGTGGGGAAAGGCAGGACAAGCATGCACAAGACGGCTCAGGGGGTAAAGGCACTTTCCTTCCTGTGATACAAGCCTAGCTACCTAGGTTTCATCTCCAGAGTCAGCTGTCTCAGACCTAAACATACACACTGCTTTGTGCCCACATATAACAAACACAAATAATTCAAATATTCATAGTTTAGGACTCTCAAATGATTACCTTTAGAAGTAACAGTTTAAACGGCTTTCCAAAACATCTTAATTATTTTTCTTATTAATAAGATACAAGACTACGGTTTCTCTTTTCTATCACTTGTTTTTCGTAACATTCCTATTGCCAGACCTAGTGAAGCTGACCAGTATCAGTTACTCAGCACTCCAAAGCAAGAAGACCACCAGTTCAAGGCCCACTTAGTCCAAGAATGAATTTAAAGCCAACCTGGGCAACTTAGTTGAGACCATACCTTAAAATTATATATAAAATTGAGGGCTGGGGACAGGCAGTGATACATGCCTTTAATACCTGCACTCAGAGTGAAAGGCAGGTGGATCTCTGTTCCAGGCCAGCCTGGTGTACAGAGTAAGTTCCAGGACAGCCAGGGCTACACAGACAAATACGATCTCGAAAAAAGGAAAGGGGGTGGGGGTGGGGGGCCACAGACAGGCGGGAAGGGAAGAGAAGGGAGGGGACTGAAGGGGGTGGGAGGGGACGGGACAGGGTGGGAGGGGAGGGGAGAAAAGAAAGAGGCAGGCAGAAGGCTGGGTAAGATAAATTTCAGTGGTAGAGCACTTGCCTGGTTTATGGGAGCCCTGGACTTAAAGATTGAAAGAATCATAACCCTACAGAGTAGGCGTCAGATGTGAGTGTGAAAGAAAGGAGAGACAAAGGAGAACCTTGCAGTCTACTAAGAGCTCTTTCATTTTTATTTATTTATTCTTTTAAGTAATGTATTGGGGGGGTCGATTTATATTTGGGAATTTTGAAAGGTTTATTTTATTTGTTTTAAATTATGTGTATGTGGGTGGAAATCCGCACAAGTGTAGGTACCAGGTGTTAGAGGAATTGGATCCCTGAGTTGCAGTTACACCAGGTGCTAGAAACTGAACTCTGCTTTCTTTCAAAAGCAGCACACACTCTTAACCAGTGAGCTATCTCTTCAGGCTGGAGTCATTTACTCTTCAATATTATCTCCTAGGTTAATTAAAATAATTTATACAAAAGATTTTCAAATACTATTTGTTCAGTTTTAAACGTTCTTTTTTTAAAAGAAGAGAAGTGGCAAAAAGCCCACAAAAACGCCAAATTGACTCATACATTTTTCTACATTTTCTGATTTTTATTGGCGACAATCACAATGCTTGCTAATAAGGCTGGCTCTGAACTATGACATACCTGAGTTGTAGTGGCTGCAGGGGTTACAGATGACGCAGCTGAGGGGGAGAGGGCTCCCACCTGTTGCAAATGCCCAGATGACTGCTGAGGTATGTGAGAGCTAGAGACAGGAGTGCTAGATCCCGAGCCAGACACCACGTTTGGAAAGGATACAGCTACATCATTGCTGTTATAAATACCTGCAACCAAAGAAAGTTTATTTAAATATCTTATAATTTAGCAGTCAAATTGGTCAGACAAAATTTCTCCTCTAAATAAATTTAATTAGTGTTTAATAACTACTAAAATAAGCTAACACTAAAAAAAATTTTCACAAAATATTTGTCTAAAAGAATCTAAGTCACTTTTAACTTAGCAAGTATTTTTGTTAATTAAACAAACAACCAAAAGTTAAGCATTGTAGGCATTTCTAAGAGCAAGAAAAGGTTTCCAAACAGAAGGAAGCAGCTGAGAGCTGTGTTTGAAACCACTTGGTAAGCCATTCAAAGTGCGTAGGACCCTAGAAATCGTAACTGACGAGCTATGAAATGGACAGAGAACTTGTTCTAGGAAGATACAAAATAAAGTACAATAGTATTGAATTTGATTTCAATATTAAAAATGCTAGTGTCCTTCGTGCATCCCAGTTGTGAGACCAGAGGTGGCATCTAGAATAGCCAGGAATCGAGCAGACAGGAGTTTCTGAGTGACCGCACTAAGTGAATGAGGCCAATATAAGAGGAAAAATTAAAACACCAAGAGATGAAAGATGAGGTAGTAGCTCCCTTTTGGGGACAAGAAAATGACAGCATACTTGATGAAAACAGTTTTTCATTGTTCCATTGGGTAAAGCAGTAAAGGAAGAAGGAAACAGAAAGTAGATTTTATTCATTCTAGAAGAGCTAAGAAGAGAAACAGGGGTGGTGGTGCACACCTTTAATCCCAGCATTGGGGGGGGGGGGGGGGGTTCAAGGCCATCCTGGCCTACAGAGCAAGTTCCAGGACAGACAGGCTCCAAAAAGCAACAGAGAAACCCTGTCTTGAAAAAACAACCAACCAAACAAGCACCAAACAAAAACAGGAAAAATATTAAAGCCGGGCAGTGGTAGTGCACACCTTTAAATCCCAGCACTCAGGAGGCAGAAGCAGGCAGATCTCTGTGAGTTCAAGGCTAGCCTGGTCTACAGAGCGAGTTCCAGGACAGCCAGGACTGTTACACAGAGAAACCCTGTCTCAAAAAACCAAAAAAGGAAAAAGAAAAAAGAACTGGAGGAGGAGAAGCAGAAGAAAAGAAAATCTCAGCAGAAAGTAACAGTTACTGAGGACAAACTGTGCCCCATCATCTGCCCCCATTTACACTGGGGAAAGGTTCAATTGGGGGTGTGTGTGTGTGTGTGTGTGTGTGTGTGTGTGTGTATATATATATATGCACGAGAACAAGTAACTTTGGAGGGCTCACTGGCATAGAGAACAGCCTGACAACAGCAGCAAGCTCTAGGTTCAGTGACAGACCCTATCTCAAAGGAATAAGGCTAAGAATAAAGAGCAGGGAACACACCTAATGTCCTCCTCCATCCTCTATGGATGTGCACAGGTGAACCCACCTGCACACATGGGGAAGCAACAACACCCCACCCACACACACACCAGGAGGCCAGGGGAATACAGAGAAAAAGAAGTTCATCTTCAACCAGGAATGACTGCCCACAGAAACACTTGACTAATTCCAGGAGACATTTTTGTCAATGTCCCATTTTTTCAAAACTTGGAAATGCTACTGGTAAAACTGAGAGGCCAAGGATGCTAACTAACATCTTCCAATGCATGTGACAATCCTGGATGGTCCAAAGGATGCTAACTAATATCTTCCAATGCATGTGACAATCCTGGATGCTCCAAAGGATGCTAACTAACATCTTCCAATGCATGTGACAATCCTGGATGGTCCAAAGCATCAAGGAGAATAAAAGCTGAGAAACCAGTTACAAACCTGAGAGGAAGAAAGGGGGAAATGGATGGAAAGAAAAGAGGAAGGGAAGGACAAATCAAGAACACTGGCATTTAAATAGAAGAAAAGCAGGAAGGAATTAAGCAGGCTGAGATGACTCAGTTAAAAAAGTCCTGAGCTTAATGACCAGAATCACTGACAAACAAGCCAGGCACCCAGATTCCCTGAGGTAGAGACAAGAGGGTCAGCCAGTCTAGTCAGATTGGTGAGTGCCAGGCTCAGCAAAAGATCTTCTCAAAAATTCAGGTTTGTGAATTTTTGGGAGATATTCTCAGTTTTTGGCCTCTGAATGTATGTACACATATATGGATCTCACACGTAGACACACGCTCTCCTCCCTCCTCCCTTCAAAAACTATACTGCTAGAAGGCAATAATAATTAGTAAATTATATATATCACTTATCAATGGGGTTTATGTGACTCTAAACAATCCAAATATCAATTTATGCTTATAGAAACACCTACAACCTTCTTCAAAAAAAGAAAATAGAAGAATCAGGACACATTAAAAGGCTTTATACCTAGAATTTAGGGCCTTATATAATGTTTGCCTCAACAGTTTCTATAAAAAAATGACTTATTCATTCTGCCTGACAACTCACTGTTTCCCAGATATTAATCTAAGCCTTAGGTAAAATTATTCAAGATACATGGTTTCTGTCTTCAAGAAGCTTGGCAGAAAAGAGAATTATAACAATCAGAAAAATTCTGATGAAAACTGCTAGATTGTCTTGGGATTGGGTGAGTGCACACAAAAGGGTATCTAACCTAGTCCTTGATGACGGAATGGAAACTAAACCTTACTCCCTGGAATGAACATGGTTTCTAGAGCTGGTTTCTAAATGCACTACACAGCAGAGAACGACTGTATGAAAGAAGCATGTGCCAGAGAGGAATGAACCTGTGAGCAAGAAAGCAGGGACCAGATCAACACAGTGAGAACATACATCCAGGGATCACTGGCAGCAGGCTAAAACAACCTGTGAACGGACGCTACAATGCTACTGATATACAAAAACAAGAACTCAATGAAGGCAAAAGAGACATTATAGAAGCAAAGAGCATGGGGCCAGTGAAAAGAATAAATGGGCATGTCCACGATAATTCCTAGGCACTACTAAGTGGGGTGAAGAGCACTGGAGCCAGAAGAGCAAAGGCAAACAGTATTTGGTTCTGTGTGCAGCTAACAGTGGTGGCATCTAAAATTTCAAGGCTTTACATAGAATTAAACATAACTTTAAAGAAAGTGACTTCTTGTCCAAGTCAGAATGGCTATCATTAAGAACACAATGACAATTTCTGGCAAGGATGTGGGGAAAGAGGGACCTTACTCAATGCTGATGGGAGGGTAAACTTGTGTAGTCTTCATGGAAATCACCATGGAGAGTTCTCAAAACCCAACAGAAGCATCATGTGATCCAGCTCTACCACCGGAGATATAACACTTTGGGATACATTACACCTAAAGGACTCTAAGTCAGCTTACCATAGAGATACTTGATCAATCATGTTCATTGCTATCTATCCACAAAAGCTAAGAAGAGGAATAACACTAGATATCCAAATGAACGGATAGAAAAATGTGGTACATGTACACAATGGAACTGGGGGGAGGGGAGACGGTTTGAGACAAAACTTTCTCTGCATAGCTAGCCCTGCTTGTCCTTGAATTCACCACCTTCCTTGAACTCCTGAGTACTGGGATTAAAGATGTGTGCCACCATTGCCTGTCAACACAATGGAATTTTATACAGCCATAAAGAAAAGCTAAATTAAGAATGTAGGAAAACTGATATAACTGGTTATCATAATGTTAAAAGAAACTAGCAAGACTCATAAATACGGCATGTTTCTTCTTCTGGGGAATTTAGACTTAAAAGTGTATGTGTGGGGGGTGGGAAATGGAAATAAAGCAAAAAAAAGTTTGATGATCTTGTAGATAGCAAAATCAAGATTAGTAAAATCGATTTCCTAATACAAATCCAAGTATCAAGGGATTATCATAGTCTTGGAGATTTCTGTGGTCATAAAATACTTGCATAATCTGGAACATAAAAGGATGAGCATGAAGCCCCAGGGCCAGCCCAGCCCCGCATTGGCAGGAAAGCCAAGGGCCTGTTATACAAGCCTAACTTGATTTAAATCTCCAAAACTCATAAAAGTAGAATAAGAAAACTGACTCCACATCTGTGCTGTTAACATGCACATGTTCGTGTACACACATGCACATACTTGCGCATACACACAAACAAACCCCATAAAGTACATTTTTAAAAATCAGCATGAAGACAGATCTTGAGGCCATAGCACAGTAACAGTATGTAATCCTCTGAACTTAAACTTTCTGTTGCTCTGTGTTATGGCTCAAAGTTCTAAGTAGTAAATATTTATTTAGAAGAACACAAATTTCATTAAGAAAACTGAAGTTTTAGGTCCTAATTAAAAACAGATGATCTAAGTCAGCTGGTGGTGGGGCATGCCCTTTGATCCCAGCACTCGAGAGGTGGAGGCGGGAGGACCTTACAAACTCTGAGGGGGGAGGGGGAGTTTGGTCATGTGAGACAGAAAAAATAGCACTTCTGGGACTGAAGAGATGGCTATTATTATAAGATGTGCTACATTTGTTAATGCTGTGGTACATTTGCTTTTATGATGCAAGATGTGTTGCGTTCTTTTATGCTGCATTTGTTTAACTCTGTGAAGCTGTTACTTTGCCTGTCTAAAACACCCGATTGGTCTAATAGCAAGTCAGGAGAAAGGACAGGTAGAGCCAGTGGGCAGAGAATAGGAGAAATCTGGGAAGAAAAGATCAAAGAGAGGAAGAGGAAGAGGACATCAGGGCCCAGCGACCCAGTTACATAGCAACCAATGGAGGAAGAAGTAAAGAAAGGTATACAGAAATAGAGGAAGGGAAAAGCCCAGAGGCACAAGATAGATGGGATAATTTAAGTAAAGAAAAGCTGGCTAGGAATAAGCCAAGCTAAGGTCGGACATTCATAAGAATAAACCACCACGTGATTTATTTATTTGGGATCTGGGAGCCAAAACGTAAAAGGTTAAAAAAAAAAATTAAAACAAACAAAAATTTTTTAAAAAAATGGCTGGGTGGTGGCTGCACACACCTTCAATCCCAGCACTTGGGAGGCAGAGGCAGGTGGATCTCTGGGAGCTCAAAGCCAGCCTGGTCTACA